TATAATTCCCTTTGCAAAAACCTGAATTTATAGTAAGGCTATTTCCTGTCGCTCATTATAAATACATTTACAAATAATCCAACAAAAACTAATCCAACATTGGCCTGTATTAAAAATATCTGCAATGTTCTATGATTATATTTGCAGTATTGTTTTGCTGTTTGCCATTCATTACTCGAGATAAAAATGTTTATTATTTGTTAAGTTCTGAAATGTACTTTCAACATTCAATATGTTTTAGTATGTAGATTTAGAATTATACGTGTTGATAAAATACAATTTATTCTTTATTAATTTCACGAACTCATTGTTCTAATGTTCATCATAATGAAGAGTGTTATTGAAAGCTAATTTCAAATCACATATATCCAAAATGTATTGCGTAAGTATTTTACCATTAAAACACAACACACAAAGAAACAAGACTATTAATAGAATGAATCATATTTACACGTTTCAATTATGAAAACAAAACAACAGTTCAGTCATCGAATGAATTGTCTGTTAATCTCTTAAATCAATAGCTGTCTCATTGTTTTGAAGGATAGGCATTAATCAAATGCTTCCATGGACACATTGTTGTCCACGATATGTCAGTACAAACTCTTTAAATCACTAAATGACATTATATGGATGTATGTTCTGTCGTTGATTAATTTGCCCTGTTGGTCTTGTAATTAAAATAATGCAATCCATATATTGTAAATACAGTAATATTTCATTCCTGGACTGCTGTTTTCAAATAATTACAAATTTTACGCTTTCATAGATGCGGCGGTTTGAGTTTGTAAGCTATATGTATATAGACAACTGCTTATTCATTTATAAACAGGTATAGTTAAATGGCATTGACATTTTGTAATTTGATAGGGAAATATTGGAGACTTCGTTTCATGAATGTTTCGCCCCTATGTTTAAGTTGTTGTTATTTTATCATTTTGTCCAACTTGAAATTGTCCTTGCTTTACACATATCCTTCTATAATCAGCTTCGTCAATGTTTTACAATGGCAAGAAAATACACATTGGACGTGTGCCTTTTTCATACCGTATAAGGTTTCTTTGAGAACAAGATAGAGTTTTAAAATGAATGACAGTACAGAAACTTTCTAAATAATAAAGATCTAAACAATCAATCTTGTAATTTTGATTTATATCAACTTGCATAAACAAAGTCTAGACCAGTATTTATTAAATGTAGACTGTCAAATATGTGTGCGATCTGAAACAGATTATTCAGATATTGTTATTTTTGTCTGAACATTGACTGTTTTAAATGATGTTTTATGCAAATAGTTTGAAATTTATCTCTATGTTAGGCGAATTCACTTGTCTCTATATCATTGAAACAGAATAGTCTTACATTGATATTATATAAATACGAGGGTATGCTTAAATAAATCACATGTCAAAACAATATTTTATTGATGATAATCGTTCGGAAAATATGAAATAATCAAAGTTTTTGCTGTTCTGCTACAAATGTTTATCAAATAATTACAACATATGAAGTGTTGATACATTTTTACTGAATGATAAAAGTCTGTAAACATGTCATGTTGGAGTATATTTATATGTTTGCAGGCATTTTAGTGGCTAATAATTTGAATAAAACAAACAGCTGTTCTAATTTCTTTTTTTTTTAAATAGAAAACAGCAAAAAATACTGTGTTCAGTGCTTTTCCCTGTCTTGTGCACTTTACTTTTTATACCCAAGAAAAAATGAACCGATTCCAGCTACTTATTCTATGTTTCTTTTGCTACTGGCAATGTGTGAAACTCCCGCCCTATTCTATTCGAACCTCTGTAACAAAATCTTCACTAATATATAAAAGGTGCAAAAAAGAAACAAACACAAAAAACAAACAAAATAGAACAAAACAATAGCAACTCAACTGTTATATATCTGTTGAGTTTTTTCCCTATATGAATCAATAAAACACAGTACTGTTTATCTTATATATCAGAACAGTTTCCAAACCATCATTGGAAGTATGGGTTAGTAAGAACAAAGAAAAAATCCTAACCATGCGAGAACTACTCGTATTAATATCGTTCAGAAAGTATTGGCAAATCTCAATTCTTAAAAGGGTGAGACAGCATTGTAAATATTTTTCTTTATCTATTTTTACCCTTACAAAAGCCAAGTAATCTTTTGAATTATATTACTAATTCATCACAACTTGACACCGATCGCGAAAAATGAGCGTAATGCCACTTTTATCTATTTGAAGTTTCTAGAAATGATTTTTAAATTCATGTGATTAAATATTTAGATTTGACACAAATAAAACAAACATTTTGCTTGACATCATTCTACTAAAGACCTTTAGATTTAAAACGTTGTTTTTTTTTCTATTTTTTATTCGTCTATGTTTTACACTTAAATTGGCAAAGGATTTCCATGATCAGATATTGCAGTATACAATGTTTCACAATGAACAAACAATGCACATGGGATTTGTATCGGCGGCGGGATAATGTCATCTTACAACTTCCAACGAACATGACAGAAAAAAGCATTGCTCAGACGCATATGTCTTACTAAAGATATAATGAATATTGTACCAAAGAACGGTAGAGACATTATAATTTCATGAATTCATCAATTCGCGTTTTTACTGTCAGGAATTCACGATTGCAATTTCATGAATTCGCCATTTCAATATAACTGAATATAAAACTTTATAGAATATTTATGAATTGTCAACACATTGTCATTCATAATTCATTAATTCACAGACGGATATGTTAAAATTCAATTTAGCAATAATTCTATTCCCAATCGTCCAATGAATATTTCATATTGAACACGAATTAATTAGGATCTGGCAGATATAAAGACATATTCTCGTGAATTGGACTATACATTACTTACGTCTCAACAATTAATATAATTAAGGGGCTCCGTGGCCGAGTGGTTTAGGGTGATGACTTCAAACCACTTGTCCCTCACCGCTGTGGGTTCGAATCCCGACAAGGATTTCATTTGAGGAAGCTATCCAGTTAGCTTAAGGAACGTTGGTTTTTCTACTCAGGTACACGTTCTTGCCATAGATAATGCACGGAAGGGCACTAGGTTCTTCCTCCAAAAGTAAAGCTAGAACGTCGCTATATGACATATACTGTGTCGGTGTGACTCAAAACCCAATCAAACAAACAAACAGATTACTTTTATTCGAAATCTCATAAAGTTTAGTTTAAACCTATGACAGTTATTCGCTTTTTAATAATTACATTTTTCTCAATTATATAGAAAATTATGATTATTCAATTTAAAATATGCTGCAATAAAACAGAAACCAATATGCATTATTTTTAGTTTTTGAAAAACACCTAGGCCTTCACAAAATAATTCATTTCTTATTGGTTTCCCGTCAATCTCGTCTTAGCTATAAACTATTTGATTTAATATTCAACTAACTTGAAAAAACATTTCTCTTTTGTTTTCATTTTCTATTGACACAAGTAAGCTATCAAACGTAGCGCTGGAAGAATCATTCACACTGCCCTAAATGTAACATTGTATTGAGCAGTGGATATTAATCAAACTGTTTTCTCAGACATATTTTTGTCCAGTGCCTGTCAGATTCTTCTATTAAGAAAACCCTTTAAATCACTAAATGACCTTATCTAGATTTATAGTTTGACATTAATATATTTGTTGTCCTAGTGTTATGATAACAATTCGTCAACAATTTATAATTCAATCAGGTAGTATTAACATGATTATTTCAACAGCTTTTGACAGACAACTCGTTGGAATGATTTGTATAAGAGACAAGCGTTTTAGAGTTATTTCCCTTTTCGACTACGTATGAAATGAACTAAAACTATTTATATGTTTAATATAGCACAAAACAGTAATTATTTCTCTTTGCATGATAACTTGGGATTATTTCTTACCGATTTGTACTTAAAACATGTTTATATGGAAAATGACTTTCAAAATAATAATAATATGATAATTTAGATCAATGATATTTGTTTCCTTTATCTAAATTTGTTGCAGATATCATAAGATATATTACGGATATGGTTTGATTCGCACAAATGGTTATACATGTTATTTAGAAACTGTATATGACCCATTATGTCAAGGATAAAGCTAATATTTCCGTTGTAAAAATATAATGAGACAAACCTATTAATTAAAGTGATTTGTGTGATAATTGACTTTTTTGAAGGTTTTGAATACATGACACAATTTCCAAACGTATGCTGACAGATATAATGAAATATTATATGATTAAGAAGTTTTGATACAGATTAATTTAACGTTTAGGCAGGAAAACTTCTGTAAACCGTTTATATTAAATGTGTGATACATGCATCGTTTTGACGTTCTTTTGACGGGTCATTAAGGATGTTAAAACAATCAATTTAAATTCTACTTCATATATGTTGCAAAAATTCAAAAGACAGAGGCTACTATGAAATGTCAGTTGATCAGTGTTGGTTCTTTGCTCAATCAGAGTAGTTACTTAACAAGTATTACTTTAAGTAACAAGAAAAACATCAAAGGGAAATAAATACACGAAATTTGTTGGTTTCTTTCTCAAAAGTATAGAGACAAGTACAGAACAATTTTATTATAAAGACTGACTATTCATCTCACATATAATAAAGCAATTTTCCAATTTTCAACTTCAATATTCTCTCACAATGAAATTTAAAAACCAAATACGAAAATAAAATAATCTTTAATTTGTTCTTGATATTGTATTTCCTAATAATTGAGAAACATAAAATGGAAATTGCTTTTTTGTTGCCTTAAACAGTTTGAATACTCGGTAAGTCTTATCTGCCGTGATTCAGTCTATGTCATATCACAGACATACAGACGAACTACATATCATTTAATGTTTAAAGTTCATAACGATTATAGTTTTTGGTTTTATATTTCATGAAAAAAGTACAAGGTACTTTTTTACTTTAATTAGTTGAATAGGAAAACCATATATAAGGGGTATTTGACGGAATATTATAAAAACTATAGTGAATGATTAATTTCAGTTTTAATATGGAAAAGCAAACAAACAAAAACATAGAAAATATGCCCTAATTCCTTCAATTAACAAGGATTTGACTATCATACTACATTGAATGTATACAAAAGTGTATATCATACTGAAAAGCTGCAAAAGAATCACTTCATATATGAACAATTATCTTATTCATGTCTCTGTCAGAAATTTATCTGAACTATTATAAAATTCTTTTTTTACACAAAATAAATTGACACAAATGTTCAGAAATGTCCATTTCAACACATGTTTTATCGCCTTCTTGCACCCTGAAAGTAAATAATTATTATTAAATCTATTATATAATTATCATTATAAAAATCGCATACAATATATACATGTTCTACTGTAAATTAAGATGTCTGTTAGAATATTTTTAAAGCTAACATTTATATTAATTCTTAAATATTTACATATCAATTTGTTTTATAATCTCATGGCCTTAATAGATTGACTTCGTTTAAAAATAAATCATATTTTCTAAAAACAAAGGACTGTTTATATCATACCGATAAGATCCGACAACCTGTGTTACGTACAAAATGTTTGCATTTGAGTTTCAATCAAAGAATTAACTTCTACAACAACTGCTACTTCAAACTGTTACTTGGTTTAAAGATAGTTTTCGATTTCCTTGCAAAAATGTGGATGTAATTTACTCACCTTGCATCCGCAATCTGCGCATACGTCACAGATGTCTGAATTCTTCAACACGTGGGACTCATAGAATGCTGTTACTTGGTTACCTTTAAAACAAATTTTTATAACATATTTTAATGTTTGAATTATTTATGTTTTTTTTTTTAATTTTTAATGAATTATAATCTCATCTACATACTTTATTTCATTACGTACTCGAATCCAATATTCCGAAATTGTTTTTAAGAAGTTGACAATAGTCCTTACTTGGTTGATAGTAGTCATATACCCTAACGGTTGCTGGCTGCGACTTGGCGACCATGCCCGTTCGGATTACGTCCATTGTAAGACAAATTGGTTTAGTGGTAATCTGAAAATGATTTATGTACGTAATATAAACATAACAATCATAAGTTGGTAAAACCCATAAATGCAAAATAATATAAACTATATATAAACGCCATTTCATTTACAAAACATTCAAACAGATCTTCCCTAGTTTCGCTTTAAAAAGCTAATATTTACGTAATCTTCTATAGTTTTTCATAGCTAACTCTGTTAAACAAATTTAATGTAACTATAAAAACCTAACCTCGTCAAAATATAGTATGACTTTTCTGTCTTCACTTTCAACTTTTTTGATCTCAGCAACACCAGCAATGCTCTCCAAGTCGGCTTCAAATCCGCTTGGAATACCAAATTCCTGAACCGCCATACCACTTGCCCCTGTCTTCAGCCATCTTAACAAGAACATAATACGTGTGGTGATTAATAAAAACGGTTACATTAATAAAATAAAAGTATATATGTTTTAAAATGTATATAATGCAACAACATCATAATTGATAATAAATTTCCAAAAACTTTTCATATCAATTTGTTATATAATTGTATATGAAACAAAAATCTACAAAAGTGTCACAGTCGTAAAAAGGTAAGAAAGATAATATTTTCTTTACGATGTTTATAGTTTCAAGGGAACAGTTTATTCTATGAACATTGTGAATTGCAGACTTTTTACACAATCGTACAAGGTTATCTCTCAAAAAACTGTCAATAAAATGGTGAATATCGTAGATTTTGTAAGAAACTAGCATTTAAACTTACGTAGCACATGTTTTGATGAGAGGAGTCGACCAGTTTCTTGAACCATTGTTACAGTGACATCAAATGATTTCTCCTCAATCTCCTGTTCCACATGAATGAGAGGTTTATCTGAAAACACAACAAAATATTTAAACGTAATCATTGTTTAATTAAAAGATGTTATAGAAATGAGCATGAAAATCGTGCCTATGTAATTGTTGGTTGAAAACAATTAATCTTCTTGACATTTACAATCTTTATTATATTTATTTATGATAGAAAACTACACTGTAATGATACATTCCATATTAAAGTGATTTGATGGGTGTTAAGGATAATTGTAAAACTTACGTCAACCAGAGCCATACCATGTCCTTTGCAGTCACAGAAAACCTGGCTTGGAAACAGATGGAAAGCTGAAAAATATTTAAATTGCAAATTTAATAATACAAACCATAATTACGATTACTGGAGCTTAACATGTATTGCTTAAAATATTGCATAAACCCTCTATTATCAAAACATTAGGTTAACACTATTGATAAATTAAAACTCATACCGCAAACAACTGGTTCTTTCCGGTCTGTCGATTGGTCTTTCAACATGCTTTTGTAAATTATGGAAATATAATATTTGTTACTTATTGCCTATGCTATTACGTTCTGAAGTTATATGTTCAAAAAAGGAAAAGAAGACTTATCTTATTATTTAAGTTCAATTTGAAAGAAAATATATACATTAAAATACAACGTACATTGCAGTTATTATTATATAGAAAAAAACGGTAATAATGTGAGACAGTTTACTTACCACTACAGTTTTGGAAACAAGTGCGTTTTGCTTGTTGATGGAGAATTTGCTGTGTAAATGTTCCAGCTGTTATTGTTGCTTGGATATCAAAATTGTCCGAGTATGCCATTACAGCAAACTCTGATAATGCTTGTAATCCGATAACTGTGTCCTACATAACACAAACCGAATACAGATTACTTAAACGTAATAACAAATTATAGTACCTCTTTTAAATACATAGGTGCGTTAAAACAGATGCCACTTTCATTATTTACTACTAATTATTTAAAGATTCTGATTTTGTGACAGTCAATATAAATATCATTCAAAAGATTTGCCTATGCATTCTTATATATGTTAAATCAAATGTTGATACTGTTGGATTCTATTTTTCTCTTTTTAAGAATAATATCTATAAATGTTGTAAAAACCTGTGTTGAGGCAAATCCACCATTTGAATTTCTCTGTGAAGTTATCCATTTCATTATAGGTATGCCGTTACCGAAGTCTTGTTTAGCAGCTTGCACGAGAAGGGCATATGACGTCATCTCGATATCGATTGGTTAGCCTGCGAGTGAGACGGTCTCCAATAGTTATGGCTGGATGAGCTGGTCTGGGCTTTGTGCCAGTGACGCATACCATCTTTAAGTGGCGGAACATTAAATACATATATCCCAAAGTACCTTATCTTAAAAAACATGTTTATAAAATGTTTTTTTAAGTCATTATTAAAAAGAGATATACTTTTGTTAAAGGAATAATCCCTTTGAATGAATAAACAAATGTGAAATACTTAAATAACAGTAGCGCAATTATTACGGGGAAAGATAACAATTACCTTTAACAATTGCATTCATTGTTCAATTTTGCGTAGGCGTGTCAGCAGATGAACTCTTTGCAAGACGCAGGGCAAAACTACTAATAGCCAATGCATAATCATCAGTTGTTGTTGACAGTTGGCTCTCAACGATTATCCTGTTGCCTTTAGTGACAGCATTCGTTGATTCTACTGCTGAATACTCTGGAATTATTTCATTTCAAAAAGATGCCTTATAGTATCAAATGAATATCTTATAAAGTTATATTCCTTTTCAACGATGTACCTTTCGTCATAGAGATAGAAGCTAGTATTGACGTGCACGTTCCATGCAGGCGGTCGTGTTAGAGAATCTTCCTCGTGAAATTAATGGATATAAATTCTTTCCTACTACTTTTGTTGATTGATTATAGCGATTTTTTTGAGAACGTTTGAATGCGATTTTTTTTAAAAAACTAAATGCGTTATGATCTTTATTAAAAAGGGTTGAGGCTCACTTATAATTAGTTGCAACGAAATTTACCGACAACCGTTTTGTTAATTTAAGCAGTATACATTTACTACAATAACACTTACACCCCGAGATCGTTCGATTTTCAAGAAGGGGAAATCAGTACAAAGGCTGTGAGTCCTAGTCCAGATGCCGAACCTCCCTATAAAAAACAATATAAAAACCAATTAGATAAGAAACTATTTAATTTTTTATTTTACTAATAGATATTGATATGTTCAATAATACTATTCATCTGGTCAATTTGTTTTTCCAAATAACTGTTTCCTAGTAAAGCAGGCAGCATTTAAAAGTTGTCATAATTACCCTCCGTCTACGAAATAAGAAGGGGATGTTTGAAATGGCGTTGTCCGTCTCAAGCAATTCCTAATTTACCCGAATTTTCTCAGGAATGATTATATTAGCACCATTACTACTAGCCTTCATTATAAACCGCCGAGAGGTTTATAATATCATGACTCCTTTACCTTAAACAGACATTTTAAAGGAAATTATCAATTTGCAAACAATATTTTAAAAAGTGATAATTCATGGACAATAAAAAATGTCCCCCTTAAAAAAAATTCTTATAATATATGTGTTTACGTTTTGTTTGAAAAAACTTTATCGGGGAATGAACATGACATCCAGCATATACATGTATGACAAGTAAATAGAATAAATCTTTTTTGTACTGTCTTTAACAAAAACATTGCTTTCCCTGCATACTTTGTAAATGACACGTCCAGGTCGGGGAATGAACCAAAATCTGCTTTTTGTTTGTTTACCACCCAATCTATAGCGTTTAATTTGTCATCGTCAAAAAATATCTGCTTCTTACCCTGGGGGGGAAAAGGCTTTGTTAAAAAGGCAGACAACTTTTGGGTTTTAATTATGTACTCGACTTCAGAAGAAATTCGATCATTCAATTTATGTCATTGACATTCAATACTATTACCCCTACTATTAGAGAATGCGAAGTTATTCTTTCTGTTAATTCAAGTGTACATACAATGTGACTTAAATTTGTTACTGTTACATGGGTAACAGTACTTTTTTTCACGGAAAAAAGCCTATAGAAAGAGTGTTCCAGTGAAGTATTTGTTTAGGGTAATCAAACAAATAACACATATGTTTGTGAGATACATGTAAAATGTTCATGGACTCGTAAAAATACTGTTTTCTAGGGATAATACTTTGACTGTTAATCACAAAAACTATGTATTTTTCAATACTAGTTATTAACGGTTTAGGTACTTGACTAAATGATAAAACGTTTTGCAACACAGGAAGACATCACATTTAGTATACCACTCAGATCGAACAGTATAGAATACTTTTATTTTGGTTTAAAATAATAAACTTAAGCCTTAAAAAAATATATGCTTGTAAAAGCTGCATTAAAAGAAATAACAAAACCACATGCTTCCTGATTTGTCTCTGTCCCAACAAGCACTGAATGAGCCATCTTATGTTGGAATGTTAATTCTTTTGAGTATCCTAGATCGAAAATATGAGTCACATAACGGTTAGTAAGAAACATTTTTATCAAATTTATATTAACATCTTGTTATATGTAAATTTGTTTAATTAGACTATTTCAAGCTTTATAATTTTGCTTGTTTGTTTTCTTTAGTGACGTTCTTCAACAAATCTAATTGTGCATATATTTACGAGATATGAATACTTAAATAGAGAAAAAACGGAAACACCAAAGTTATCACATTATGTCATTTGAACATTGTTTTAATACCATTTCTGC